TGGTGCGGCATAGTCACCTATAGATATGTATAGGTAATCAGTTAGGTTATGTGAGGTAATCGCAGAATATCAGCCTGTAGTTTTAATGCTATGTACTTCCACAAGTATCACTTTATTAAATAAAGATACTGGCATGATCTGCCAAAGTAAAAAAAAAAATTGTAGTTTTTATATAAGAATACTTTAACATGTCACTAACTAAGAGATTTGACTCATATGCAGCATATGGTATAGTAAAATTTTTGGATATTGTATATAATTCAAAATAATTATAATTATTATAAATAAAAAAATTATTATAATTATATTAATATAATACATAATTGTGTAAGTATAATTTTTATATGTATATAATTTGTAGCACTATTAGTAATAATTGCATTAACTTTTTCAAGACTAACTTGTATTAAACCATTTTTCAAATCTTCAAAAATTACTTGAGATGTTTGACTTTTTCCATAAGTGTCTATGATTTTAATAATCTTTAACTATTGATCTTTACTAATAGCCATAAAATTTACAAGATAGTTTTGACGAATGTGGTCTATCCATCAGTTGCAATAGTAATCCAAGTAGATTTATATAAAAATTGATTAATTGATATTTGAGTATTTGTATAAACTATATTATGAATATTATTAAAAAGTTTTTTTTGCTAGAACATAATACAAGTTATTGATAGAGTGGACAAATTTCTGAATCTACAAGAGAAAAAGATGCACCACCTTCAATTATACCTTTCAATAATAATTGATTTGATTTGTTTATATCTAATAGCAATTGCATAGATACTTGATTATTACTGCTACAATTCGAAACTGATATAGAGGATATAATTAATATTTCTGATAAAACATCTTGTTGCTCTCTTGTATCATGAAAATGTTGTTGTTGATAATTTTGAGCATTAATAAGATAGTTTTGAACTTCTAAAGAAATGCTTGCACATTTTTTAATATGAAAACCCATTACTGCAGCAGAACCAGATATAGATTACAAAATATGCATTTGGCTTTAAACCTTTTGTTAGTTTTAACTAAATGAAAAGCTTACCAAAGAAGGCCTAATAGATGGCCAGTAGAACCAACTTGAAGTTCACAAAGTAAATGTTAAATTTGCAAATCTGGTAAAGGCCAATTTGATATTGTATGTAAATATGTTATTAATGTTCAAACGATCGATCTTTTATTTAACTCAAAAAAAAACAATTTTGTATATATGCAGTTTATTGTTATAGTTTATTTGTAATTAATATATGTAATTTATTTGTAATCAATAACTCTTAAAATTACTTAATAATATGTAATAATTAATACAATATATAAGGGTTAAATTTTAGCTATCGCTTATATAATTATTATATTGCCCATCCCTATTTATTTCACCAACACTTAATTCACTAATATTTAATTTACCAACACTCAATTCACTGATACTTAATTCACAAGCATAATTTACCTACAGCTCAATTCACTGACAAGCTCAATTTACCAACACTCAATTCACTGACAATCAATTTACAATCAATTTAGCAACACTCAATTCACCAAAAAAGTAATTATATCAGAATTATGTTTACTGCAAGGTTAGTGAATTAAGCTTGTCAGTAAATTGAGTATCAGTAAATTGATTGTCAGTGAATTGATTGTGATAAAGTATTGTGTATACAAAATAAGTGTCAGTAAAATGAGCAGAACCAGTTTGCAACAATGTTAAGTTCATTATTTTAATAGTGAGTAGTAAGTTTAGCAGTAAATTGTAATTTTAACAGTGAATAGTTTATGACTCAAACAAAGAGTATATTCATAATTTTAACAGCAAGTAGATTTGTAATTTAACAATAAATGAGCTAATAATTTTGGTAATGAAAAATATAGCAATCTGACATTATATGATGAGACAATTAAGTTAGAGATTTTAACTTTCAAAATTTTGGCATAGATACGGAGTAGCCAAATATTTATTTTAATATCTGTCTACTTTGCCTAATTTTGGTAATTTGATAGAATATAATAATGCACTATATATCAATTAGTAATGCCTTTGACACAATTTGACAGACAGTTTCAAATCATCACTACTCTACAACCAAAATACAATAAAAACATAAGATACAGTAAAGCCTACTCGATAAAAACAAAATGATTTAGTTTGAGAACCAGATCTTACTGCCAGCATCTATAACTAACGATACTTATTTACATGACTATCAGCTTTATTTAGATTATTCAATATCTATATTTTACCTTGAGTCAAACCCAAAATAGCATTTGTTAATGCCATCTCACATGCCAACTATTGAATATTTCCTATTACAATAGGTTACAATGAGTTGTTTGCTAGTCTTAATTAAAATCTGAATCTACAATATGGTGTGATCAATATAATTAAAATTTAAAACAACACTGAGCGAAGTGAGGCAGAACATAATAAATGTAAAACTGAGCTTAAATTAAGGCTGAAAGTTATTGCATTGATTATTTTCAAAACTAGCTTTTATGTATTTGTGTTCTATTTCATT